GCGATGTTTAAATATATGCGATCAATGCTACATCAAAAGTTGTATTGATTGAGTCCGGCATGAGAAAACATCAGACAAGTCACAGATCAGCAACCTGATTGCTGTTTACCGACAGGGAATATATGGAATCATCGTAGAGGTCATACAGTTAACATCCGTACAGAAAGGAAGTTAATCAGGCACAACTGTTGTATCCGTCACATAACTCTACTTTTCACTTGCAAATGTGGTGTCCGTCGCACACAAGAGTTGTACCCATCACACACACGAGCCGTTCCCGTCAGATACAAGAGCTGTCCCCGTCACACACAAGAGTTGTACTCGTCACACACAAGAGCTGTCCCCGTCACACACAAGAGTTGTCCCCGTCACGCACAAGAGTTGTACCCATCACATACACGAGCCGTTCCCGTCAGATACAAGAGCTGTCCCCGTCACACACAAGAGCTGTCCCCGTCACACACAAGAGCTGTCACCGTCACACACAAGAGCTGTCACCGTCACGCACAAGAGTTGTACTCGTCACACACAAGAGCTGTCACCGTCACACACAAGAGCTGTCACCGTCACACACAAGAGCTGTCACCGTCACGCACAAGAGTTGTACTCGTCACACACAAGAGCTGTCCCCGTCACACACAAGAATTGTACTCGTCACACACAAGAGCTGTCACCGTCACACACAAGAGCTGTCACCGTCACACACAAGAGCTGTCACCGTCACGCACAAGACTTGTAGTCCTCACACGCAACAGCTGAATACATCACACACAAAGGTTGTACCCGTTAAACAAAGAGTTGTACCCGTCACACACAAGAGCTGTACCCGTCACACACAACAGCTATACCCGTCACACACAACAGCTATACCCGTCACACACAACAGCTATACCCGTCACACACAAGTGCTTTACCCGTCACGCACAAGTGCTTTACCCGTCACGCACAAGAGCTGTACGCGTCACGCACAAAAACTGTACCCGTCACGCTGAAGAGCTGTAACTATCACACTCAACAGCTGAACAGGTCACGCACAACAGCTGTACACATCACACACAAGATTCGTACCTGTTATACAAAGAGTTGTACCCATCACACACAAGAGCCGTTCCCGTCACATTCAAGAGCTGTCCCAGTCAAACGCAAGAGCTGTGCTCGTCACGCACAAATGCTATACCCGTCACGCACAAAAACTGTAACCATCACACACAAGAGTCGTACCCGTTATACAAAGAGTTGTAACCGTCAAACACACGAGTTGTACCCATCGCACACAAAAGTTGTACCCGTCACACACTAGGGCTGTACCCGTCACACACAGTAGCTGTACCTCACATTCCCAAAATCGGTACCCATTACACACAAGAGAAATACCCAACACACCAAAAAGCTGTACTCATTACACACAAGAGAAATACCCAGCACACCAACAAGCTGTACTCATTACACACAAGAGCTGTACTCATTACACACAAGAGCTGTACTCATTACACACACGAGCTGTACTCATTACACACACGAGCTGTACTCATTACACACAAGAGCTGTACTCATTACACACAAGAGCTGTACTCATTACACACAAGAGCTGTACTCATTACACACAAGAGCTGTACTCATTACACACAAGAGCTGTACTCATTACACACAAGAGCTGTACTCATTACACACACGAGCTGTACTCATTACACACACGAGCTGTTCTCATTACACACAAGAGCTGTACTCATTACACACAAGAGCTGTACTCATTACACACAAGAGCTGTACTCATTACACACAAGAGCTGTACTCATTACACACAAGAGCTGCATACGTCGCACACAAGACTAGCAACCAGTTAAGTTAAGCTGATTCAACAACCGACATCACAGCACTCTGAGCATTCCCATAAGCGCCCCGTCCCCATCTTGAACAGCCACCGCCGAGTTCCAATACTAATGGTGCCAGTAGCAGTCGTACATCTTGATTTTTCTCCGAGCGTCGATTATCGGCCAGATCCCATTGTCACTGCTCGCTGCATCACTCTCACCAGACTGTGATGATCCATTCGCTCCTTTGACTAGCACACGTGCTCCAATTAGGCCCTAATCACATCTACCTTATCATGCATGAACATGCTACCAAGAACGACCATGTGAACATTTCGAAACTTTGCTTCTGACTTGTCTAATTGTTTCTTTCTTTCATCCTGTCTAGTGTGTCCATTGACCCCGATTAATTCCTATTTATTTAAGCAGCATTCATTTGAAACACATTCGATTTGCTTTATTATAGAAGCATGAAAAATGCACAAACTGGCGTGGCAGATTAAACTAAGCGTTCATTTTAAATATATTATGCACCACTGGTTGGCCAGTAAAAGGTCGCCGTAGGCATTGAAGTAACCATTCAACTGCTAGGTAGGTGGCCAGTGGCGTCCACGAAAATGCATTGTGGTTGCCAACTGAACCAAGTGTTTACCGCGCTCCCTGGGTCTGTAAAATCTATGGTAACCACTGTGAACACATCCTCTGGGTTCCTGGGTCCCATTGTAGAGAAAACACGAATAGACCCACTGCCTCCCTAACAAGCATGTCATAAGAAAACACTAAGTAGGTGTTTTCTTCGGTCGGAGCACGTTTACCCGACAGGCAAGGAACCAACAGTCTGCATACAAATACGTCAGAACAGTAAAACTTACGCGCACGCAATACTCAGGTTCAGGAACAAGTCTAAAATCCAGAGGGTGATAAGAGAAACCAAAACTTTCAGCCGGAGTTTACACGAAGAAGAAAAAGACACCATCTAATTTTGTAGTTTTGAACAAACAATCTGTTGAGCTGTCCTAACTAACACGTCGAATTCCATCGCTTCGCCAGCGGTTCACCTGTATTGCAGCATCAGCTTTGGCAATGAAGTTCCCCCCCCCCCCCCCTTTTATTTTTGCAACTGGACGCGATTGATCCAGCCAGTGAAGATTGATTTGTCTTGAACTCGCGTTCTTACCGAAAAATTCTTTGCCCCAGTCTGTCACTGTTGTCTTCCACACACATTTGTTACCCTACGCTGTCTGTATTTGCATTCTCCGGTGAATGTCCACTGGTCGACATCCCTCACATGAAATGCACAGAATAAATCGTCGTTTTTTTTTTTTTTTTAGCTTCTTTGGACTGACTTCAGATTTGGAAAAAAAACGGTCATTTTCTCAAAGGTCAGAAATCGAATCTATAATTTTTGGGAAGATGCGAAAAAGGCACGTGAACGTTGCGGCTAGAAAACCTTCATCGGTACAGTAAAAAAATCAAAATTAAGTCAAATGCAAAGAATAGTACACATAATCATTTAACTGGCGTATTCCCGATGAACATAACGTTGCTGTCAGGCCAGAGAAATGAATGACACGTTTCGTCGATGATGATAAATATAAGCTGGATAATGCCAAGGAACGTAACTCAAAGGTGCTTGATAAAACTGTGTTGACAGTTAAGTCCCTTAGGGGAGAGGGCGCCCATAAGGTAGATCAGGCGGTTTTCCAGAGAGAATTATGTTACTGGGTTGTTAGATCTGATGGCCATAACCTCCTTGTCGCGGACATCTTGGTGATACTTTATTTATTGGTCAGTGTGTGTTGCCATCAAGATGATGATGACCACTCCTTTTCATCAAGTATGAGTAGGAAGATTACTGATGAGGCCGATGCGGGCCCGAAAAGTCCTTGGACAGTGAAGACAGGAAATGAGTGTTGTGCAGGGAGGGGATCTCCTGCAGTCGCCTTTCTGTCTGTCCTTTTCTTAATCTGTATCGCTGTTCTGTTTGCTTTACATGTAGCCGCGCCCTTGTGTAGAGTTGCACGCCAATTGGTCAGTACTTCTGGTGTGTCGATTATTTTATACTGTTAGCTAGGCGTCCTACGCTGTAACTGATAATGTTAGAAAAAAGATCTAACGCTTCTCAAAAACAATACTCGAAGATTCAGTAGAAGGGACGAGGAGAAACGACAGACAAAGAAAGACATGGATTGTGGTTGACCGCCTGTCAGGCCTCAGGCACGCAACCATGAAGTCCATTACATGTCACCGCCAATGGTGGAGGCAGCTGATCAGACAGTTCATCAGGAGCTCGTGATCCAATCACACGCCGTTTTACAGGGTGATAGTGGCAGTTTTACGGGGTGATAGTGGCAGTTTTACAGGGTGATAGTGGCAGTTTTACGGGGTGATAGTGGCAGTTTTACGGGGTGATAGTGGCAGTTTTACAGGGTGATAGTGGCAGTTTTACGGGGTGATAGTGGCAGTTTTACAGGGTGATAGTGGCAGTTTTACAGGGTGATAGTGGCAGTTTTACAGGGTGATAGTCGCAGTTTTACGGGGTGATAGTGGTAGTGGTGATGATGATGATGTTGGTAATGATGATGATGATGATGATGGAAATGATGATGATGGTAATAACGATGATGGAAATAATGATAATGGTAATGATGCTCATGATGATGGTAATGATGATGATGATGATGGTAATGATGATGATGGTAATGATGATGATGGTAGAGGTGATGGTGGTAATAATAATGATGGTAATGATGATGATGGTAATAATAATGATAGTAATGATGATAATGGTAATGATGATGATGGTAATTATGATGATTGTAATGATGATAAAGGTAATGATAATGATGGTAATGATGGGGATAGTCATAATGATGAAGGTAATGATCATGATGGTAATGATGATGATGGTAATGATCATGATGGTAATGATAATAATGGTAATAATGATGATGGTAATGATGATGATGGTAATAATGATGATGGTAAGGATGATAATGGTAATGATGGTAATGATGATGATTGTAATGATGATGAAGGTAATGATGATGATGGTAATGATGATGATGGTAATGATGATGATAAAACTAAATATCTGTTCTGTAAATTAAAAGTCTGACAACCCCTAAAATAAAAGAGCAGAATATCGATATGATTAAAAAGCTCCATAATTTTTAAGACAACAGATGGATGGTTGACAGAAAATACAAAATTACAGATGGAAGATCGATTGAGAGAAACATTCTCACAGCGACAAATACGTCAACAGTACAAGTGGCAGGTTATGATGGCTGTACTTTACATAGTTTGGCTCGAAATTATAGTGTCTTCCTGGACAAATAATAAGCTTTAGCCGTCAGTAATAATTTTCCTCATTTGCCTCTTTGGGTTAGACAATAAGGGACCGATCTCTCTGATGGCACATTTCTCATTTGCTGGCCAAATCTGCACAATATTTAAACTCGTCGTGTGTCTGGTGTCTTCTAGAAGTTTCATTACTTGATGCTATTTTTGGTGTAATGTTTATATTTGTTCCCCTAATATAGTGGCGCAGCCATGCGACTATCTATCAATCTGTCCATCTTTATGTCTGTCCATCTTAATGTCTGTTTATCTATCTATCTATCTATCTATCTATCTATCTATCTATCTATCTATCTATCTATCTATCTATCTATCTATCTATCTATCTATCTATCTATCTATCTATCTATCTATCTATCTATCTATCTATCTATCTATATCTATCTATCTATCTATCTATCTATCTATCTATCTATCTATCTATCTATCTATCTATCTATCTATCTATCTATCTATCTATCTATCTATCTATCTATCTATCTATCTATCTATCTATCTATCTATCTATCTATCTATCTATCTATCTATCTATCTATCTATCTATCTATCTATCTATCTATCTATCTATCTATCTATCTATCTATCTATCTATCTATCTATCTATCTATCTATCTATCTATCTATCTATCTATCTATCTATCTATCTATCTATCTATCTATCTATCTATCTATCTATCTATCTATCTATCTATCTATCTATCTATCTATCTATCTATCTATCTATCTATCTATCTATCTATCTATCTATCTATCTATCTATCTATCTATCTATCTATCTATCTATCTATCTATCTATCTATCTATCTATCTATCTATCTATCTATCTATCTATCTATCTATCTATCGATCGATCGATCGATCGATCTATCGATCTATCGATCTATCGATCTATCGATCTATCGATCTATCGATCTATCGATCTATCTATCTATCTATCTATCTATCTATCTATCTATCTATCTATCTATCTATCTATCTATCTATCTATCTATCTATCTATCTATCTATCTATCTATCTATCTATCTATCTATCTATCTATCTATCTATCTATCTATCTATCTATCTATCTATCTATCTATCTATCTATCTATCTATCTATCTATCTATCTATCTATCCATCCATCCATCCATCCATCCATCCATCCATCCATCCATCCATCCATCCATCCATCCATCCATCCATCCATCCATCCATCCGTCCGTCCGTCCGTCCGTCCGTCCGTCCGTCCGTCCGTCCATCCGTCCGTCTGTCTGTCTGTTTGTCTGTCCGTCTGTCTGTCTGTCTGTCTGTCTGTATGTCTGCCTTCCTCTCTGCCTGCCTGCCTGTCTGTCTGCCTGTCTGCCTGCCTGCCTGCCTGCCTGTCTGCCTGCCTGCCTGCCTATCTGTATTAAGCAGTCACGACTGACTTGTTTGGCGTATGAGAGCACAGGTTTGTCACCGAAGCTCCAGAAAACAAGCACTAAAGCTCATGGGCGCACTGATATCTTTTCTGTCTCTGTTTCTGGTTGTTATATTTCCCCCAAGTTTTAAAATCAACCACGTAGCAAATTGTACTCAAAAATGATTCTTTTTCAGTCTCCAAACAGAGTTATAAGGTTTCACACCAGCTGCAAAGTCGATTCAGGTGTCCTAGTGTCTCAACATTGATAGATGTGCCCCACAAGTATCCTGACATTTATATAGGTGCCCACGAGATTCAATTCTTCAATACCTACCGTTTCGTGTTGACACTGAAAAACTTCTCCACATTTGCTAACCGTTCTCTGATTACCGAGCCATCTACATAAATTCTTATTTTTATTCGTTTTATTTTTCTACTTCTTCTTTTTCTTCTTCTTCTTCTCCTTATTTTTCTTCTTCTTCTTCTTCTTCTTCTTCTTCTTCTTCTTCTTCTTCTTCTTCTTCTTCTTCTTCTTCTTCTTCTTCTTCTTCTTCTTCTTCTGCTTCTTCTTCTTCTTCTTCTTCTTCGTTTTCTTCTTCGCCGTCGTCTTCTTCTTCTTCTTTGCTTGCCCTTAAAACGGCAGTTGACACAATGTGTTGTGGTTTACAGCTATGCCGACAATATCTGATTTCAGCAAGCCTGGATTAGTCACCCTTTACGATATGCTTGTTTGGGGGCAGTGGTTGTTTTCTTCTTTCACCCACCAAAATATGGTCCCAGAGACATTCTAGTTCGTTAAAATAAAAACATTTTAAACCTATATATTAATTTTCCCCTATCTTCTAGTAAATATTTTTTGTGATATAGATACATACATTCATTCATTCATTCATTCATTTTTTCATTCATTCATTCATTCATTCATTCATTCATTCATTCATTCATTCATTCATTCATTCATTCACTCATTATTCTGTTGTGGCATTATACGTCCCATAGGGCTCACAGTCTATTCCTTCTTCCATTCTATCCTAAACGATCACTTCCTTATCATAGAAATCTAGTCCATCACTATTGGTCTCTCACATGGACGTTCGCTTTAGGGTATCTGTTTGAGGTCCTTGTATCCTTAGTCCATTACTTTCCTATCGCAGTGTCTGTTCGGTGTTTCTCTGCTCCTTTCTTCTCGTGATGTGTCTACTATAGCTTCATCTTCTCTATCTTATACCTGTTCTCATTAATGGTTGCCGATACAGTTTTTTTTTTTTTAATCTGCCTTAAATTGACGGCAGTTTACGTGTGTCGTGTTCCTCTGAGATTTGTTTCTGTATGGCCGCTGAGAGGCGTACAGGTGTGAGACTTCTGGCATGAACGCTAAAGTTTTAGCATATTCAAAAAGATATCCCGACAGGAACTGCTGACAGACGCAAATATCGCAGCCCTGCTGCAGACAGGCACACCACAATTAAATCATCGGACGAATGATAAAGAAGACATTGAAGTATTTGTTCCCTGATTCTGTCAGTTTAAATTACTGTTCATAGAATAAACAAGCACATTTGCCAAAAAAACATGCAGACTTGAAAAAAAAAAACATGCACATTTTCCAAAGGAACATGCAGACTTGCCAAATAAACATGCAGACTTGACAAAGAAACATGCAGACTTGCCAAATAAACATGCAGACTTGCAAAAAAAAAAACATGCAGACTTGCCAAAGAAACATGCAGACTTGCCAAAGAAACAAGCAGACGGCGTAATCAGATCTATTGACAAACAGGACGACAGACAAAGAAACAGACAAACAAACTGTTAGCCAGACATACTGCTAAACAGACAAGAGTGATAGCTGCCGACATGGACTCCGTCGCTTGGTTTATGAGATAAAATTTTAATGGATAATCATGGAAATCGTCGCTAGAGCTACAGAGCCCTACTTGAGAAAAGAAAATGTCATACTGAGAGAAAAAAAAACTTATTTTAGCCGGATATCTTGACAAACAAGCAGACAAACAGACAAGCAGACACTGCACAGAAAATGTTTTCACTTCAGAGATAAATAACCGCCAGACGACTCTTGCACAGAGAGAAGCCTCACAGAAAAATCTTGACATTATTCGTGGAACTGTTTAGGTGAGAACCATCGACAATTCCAGACATACAAAAAAGATGCGAATGACACATGTTTGTCGTCGCCATATTGGAACAAATTTCTCTCTAGCGTGACTGTTTCCTAATAGCGGTCCGGTGACAAATAGGTGTAAGATCAAGAAAACCCGAGTGTGCGTGTCGGTTCAGATCTCACTTTGTGTGGCTTGGGTCGTAATTGTGATCTGATGTATCGGGCTTCTCGCGAAGAAGTAGCCCATTATCCTGGAAGCGTAGAAAATCAGGGGTGTTTCCATCGGTAGAATGGAGGAGGGAAGGTAGAGGGGACAGTAAATAGATGTTAGGAAAATCAGGGGTGTTTCCATCGGTAGAATGGGGGAGGGAAGGTAGAAGGGACAGTAGATAGATGTTAGGAAAAGCAGGGGTGTTTCCATCGGTAGAATGGGGGAGGGAAGGTAGAAGGGACAGTAGATAGATGTTAGGAAAAGCAGGGGTGTTTCCATCGGTAGAATGGGGGAGGGAAGGTAGAAGGGACAGTAGATAGATGTTAGGGAAAGCAGGGGTGTTTCCAGTGATTCAACAAAAGGCCGCGAAAAGGGGGAGGGGGCGGGGGGTGATGCTCACGTGTGAAACAGACTTGGCGTTCTCGTGAATAATTGGTATATATTGTAGAAATAAATAAGACTTTCTGGTGGTAGAGGCATTATCATAATCCCATAATCACGTGTCCTACCGTGTCTCTATAGACCAGGGCTATTCAGCTAAGTTTGCTCGCGGGCCAAAATGCTGAACATGGAGACCGTCGCGGGCCATTGGCCGCCCGAGCCCACACTACAATTGACAACATTTTCAATCGGTAGATTTAATACACTCGAAAACTATTAGGCCTAGGACATAGCGTATATAAATGTAGCAGTCTTGTAAACCATTATAATGTAAAGTGTACTTCAATCTTCTGTAATGATTATTTAATACTCACTTTTAATTCTTCTTTGTATTAACCCGCTGTAAACTCCAGTGGAAAGTTCTGGTTGTACATCTTCTTCTGGACTCTAGTCCCGTTTCAGAAACTGAGTGTTTTGTACAGATCCGTTTTACACGTCTTACTCATTTACATGCAGACTAGATTCCCTGGCTCTCAGGCAGATTTACTCCGACTTCGAAGAAAGCTCCTAATTAGTCGACTCTTGCGACATTCTTTTGGGTAGGCAGTGGGTCTATTCTCGTTTCCCCACAATAGGGCCCCGGAACCCACACGGGAATCCCTTTTAATTGAAATACACCTATTTCCAACTTGTAGATGGGATCATAAATAAACGTTAACATTGTCACAATAATAATAATAACTGTCCACCGTTGGTTTCATGTTCTGCAGAAGAAACTGAAAGGTATAACGATGCAAAATGTAATTAATGGGAAATGCTGCATTTCCGTTTTTGAGCTAATTTTGCCAAATTTAGCTAGTGAGAAGTTAGCCCAATTCTCATGCAGTCCTGCAGCCTATCGTTGCTGAGTGAGCTTCGGCTGTTTGTCTTGATGACATTCATGTGAGAGAAGCTTGATTCACATGGTGAGTATGAATGAATACAGCAACTTTTCTAGCATTAGGGAACTGCTCCGGTTAAATCCTCTCGTTCCAAAACTTGACTGTACCACTTTCTTGAAAATCTTCATTCACTGCGCTAGAACTTTGCATATCCATAAGTTATAACTGCAGAGAACCTTCATCAACAGAGGATATCAACTTCTTAGCACTGGAACAAAAATCACACGCAGGAGGGATTTTAAAAGGATCCCGAACAAATAACACTACATTGTTTCGGATTTTGAAGTCGTCAAATCTGTTGTTTAAATTATTCTAAAGCTTTTTAAAAATATTTATATCATCGATCGATTAAGGTTGCCGAGTCCAGTGTTGAAGAAATAAAATGGCAAGCATACTGGTTTCGAATTAGGCAGAGTTGGCGATATAAAAACATATTTCAGTGTCCAGTCACTGCTGAATGCACGTTTTTCACAATCCCACTTACTGGTGCTAGCCATGGCATGAAGTATTAAACTAAATTATTACAAGTAGATAATTTAAAACACTGTTACTGATTCAGTTTGTTAATGTACAATCGCATCCGACAATCTACGTATGACTGTGAATGTGACTGGACGTTCTTCTGGACTTTATAATGTGATAACAAGGTATTGTGCCGTGTCCAATGTCTGATGTTCATTTACATCCAATGGCATTAGTTTGTGGCGCCCATTAAGGAGAGTTTCTCTGTAACCTAAGCTCTTACTGTCACGACCGTGTTGGTATTTCCCTACGCCTCCTGTCCAATAAATATCTCACCTTCATTGAATGTCCAGTGCAGCTATGGCCTTCGCGCTTGTTATTTGGTTCTGTCCAGCCTATCTTTTTACCTTTGGCTTCAAACACGCGAGTTTTGCTATTTGAGCGAACTGGGAATAAGCTTTTACCCTGATCAAATTACTTTTTCTGTTCATATGCTGGTTCCCTTGTACCTTCGTATTTACAGATTCTTGACAAACACTTCTATTTGACACATTTGACATGACTGGTTTTTTGAGGAATATACAGAAACTTTGATTGATTTAATTTTTGTTCTTTTCAATAACTACATATCGCTATTTTGGCAACGATCGGCGGGTCACTTGCTAGGCCTCGGCCCCCACGATTTGTCCCGCGGGCCGCCAGTTGAATAGCCCTGCTATAGACCATAATCCCTTGTTCACTAGATCAGTTTCACCGATGATATCCCTCCGTACAGCCGTCGCAGTCAATCGGTGATATTCTCTCCCTCTTCCACCTTTGATATTCCCAGTCGTTACAATATTCTCCAAGTCGTTTTACACAAACTTTGGTAAACATGAACAAAATTGTGCTCCCGGTAGGGATGTTTTGTTTTTTATATCTCTTTGGCACTAATTTATTTAACACAACCTCTTGAATTTTCAGTCTTTCGGATTTCATGGTGATCATATTTTAATGTGAAATTAAGGCGTACCATCTTATCTTTCATATTTCATTTAACATAATCTTTTATCCATACCTTCGTTTTTATCTCTTTCACAGCACTGCCTCCAGAATTATACACTATCTGGGAGGCCTACCCGTGGCATTTTGGAGAACCTTTCTGCATTTTCAGAGCCCTTCTTATTGAAATGACCACCTACGCATCTGTACTGACAATCACCAGCTTCACCATAGAAAGATACATAGCTATCTGTCACCCAATCCGAGGCCAGCGCGCCTCCAGAGAATCCCGAGCCATTAAATGTGTATTTACCATCTGGATCGTTTCCGTCCTTTGTGCGCTGCCTTATCCCATCCACACCAGGGTTTTCACGTTTGTCAACGACCCACGCCATGATAGACCTCTCAGTGACTCCTTTGTGTGCAATATTCCCTTTCGATGGCAGCACAGGATGGGATTTTTCTTCCAGGTTTCCACTTTTGTGTTTTTCATCTTTCCCATGGCGATAATCACCGTCATGTACCTGCTGATCGGGATGCGACTCCGGAGTTCTGCCCTCGCTTCCGCCTTGTTGCCTCAAGCCCAGCAAAACAAGATAGCGGCTTCGCGAGCACGGAGGGCTGTGCTAAAGATGTTGGGTAAGTATGATTTTGGATTGTATGTTAATGAGACTACGATACTACAGGGCTGTGTGTATGAGACAATGCAGGTCAACAAAAGGCAAGTCTCAGGTCTACAAACATCATGTCTATTGTTTCTGATGACAGAAAGAATGGCGGGTAACCTGTCAACAGCAACTGCTGACCTAACGACATGCTGTGCTATCGGACTATGATGGCGGTGATGATGATGATAATGATAATGATGAAAATGATGATGATGATGATAATGATGATGAGTTAATCCTAGTAATAATCATCACCCATACCTCCCTCTGAACTCCCACAGCGGTTTCAAACGACCCATTACATGACAGATGATGACTTATGTGATTGATGATTGAAGTCTTATGGCATTGGAGGATTTAATTTAAAAATAGAAAATTTTAGATCTAGCTTTCAAATTTATCAACAAAGTCACAAATCACTGAAAAGCCGTCATTGTCGTTGATAACGTTTCAACAAATGAGGGCATCAGCAACATGTTCAACAAACAAAAATCGGACAAATAAAACACAGTTCTGTGCTAATACAAATCATTTCCAGAACTGTTTACATTTCGAATTAATATTTGTATATCCCGCCTGGCATGGTTTTGTGTGGGTGCAGTTCAGTGGTAGCTATTGTATCTGGCTCACGTCTCAAAAGTATTGGTTACAGCTGGTCATGCTGTTACGCAAAATCCGCTAGATTAAAATTAATTTAAAGTAAAACTTGTACTTGTAAGCGACATTCTGTTATATAAACATAAAATTACACTTAAATAACGTTATTCATAAGTAAATATTACATTTAAACTACTTTCTGTTTGATAAATATAAAACTGTGTTTACATGACTTTAGAAGTAAGCATTTCTTACATATAAACTGCCAAATAAATATAAAACTACCATTACATGACGTAAGTAGTAAACATTTCTTACATATAAACTGCCAAATAAATATAAAACTACCATTACATGACGTAAGTAGTAAGCATTTCTTACATATAAACTGCCAAATAAATATAAAACTACCATTACATGACGTAAGTAGTAAACATTTCTTACATATAAACTGCCAAATAAATATAAAACTACCATTACATGACGTAAGTAGTAAGCATTTCTTACATATAAACTGCCAAATAAATATAAAACTACCATTACATGACGTAAGTAGTAAGCATTTCTTACATATAAACTGCCAAATAAATATAAAACTGCGTTTACATGACGTTTGCAGTAAGCATTTCTTACATATAAACTGCCAAATAAATATAAAACTACCATTACATGACGTTTGCAGTAAGCATTTCTTACATATAAACTGCCAAATAAATATAAAACTGCGTTTACATGATGTTGGTAGTAAGAATTTCTTACATATAAACCTAAATCTGCCAAATAAATATAAAACTGCGTTTACATGATGTTGGTAGTAAGAATTTCTTACATATAAACCTAAATCTGCCAAATAAATATAAAAACTGCGTTTACATGTCTTTAGAAGTAAGCATTTCTTACATATAAACTTAAATCTGTCAAATAAATATAAAATGCATTTACATGACGTTATTATTAATTATATTCGTAAACATTTCCTAATTTAATATGCTTTCTGCTACATAAATATAAAAATATAAAATGTGGTTAAATAAGGTTATCTGTCAACATTTCTTACTCTCTTTTATGGATACTGTGTGCCTGGTACGGTAGCTAAGTTGGTTAAACCACCTGCGCAGCGATCTGTGACAAACTCCTTGTGGTCCGGATTCACGCCCTGTGGGAAAGGAGGGGGGGGGGGGGGAGCGAAAAACTCACATGTCTCCAAGATTTATGTTATCTGTCGTGGAATCAAGACCGAAGGGTTGCGATATCTATACTACCGAGGGTTTACAACTCATGGTTTCTGGATATTAACTCCCAAAACAAAATGGACACTATGTTGTTTGATAGTTCGCAAGCAAATTACCTTGTCTTTCTGTGTACCAATGAGTCAAGACCGATAAGCATAGGCGGCCATGTTCGCCATTTGAGGAAAATCAAAGATCAAGTCAGCGTTCTTGCCTTACCCAATCCATTGGGATATTTATCTATGTGTCTTGGGCTTGCTTTGCATCTACAAACTTTGCAATTTTTTTTTTTTTTTAATGCATTTGTATTTACCTTCACAACCAACAGAAACAGATGTGGACTTTCTCAGTCTAATTTCCCAGCCAGACAGTTATTACAGGCTTTGACCGTCTCCAAGACACTGTCTTGACCAGAGCTTTCCGGACCGTCTCTCACGACACATTAGATGAATGGTCTCCAACCGGTTTTTAGGTGGCGCCCACCCCGTCGTTCCCCACCCTCCATTTCTATTATAAAACGAAGACACCCCCCCCCCCCACCCACCCACCACCCCCAAAACAAAGAAATGCCAAGCATTACTAGCATGAACTTCGAAAAAACATCCATATCAATTTAAACGTTAAATTAAAAAAAAAAACATTAATAAATCGGAAAATGTTCGTTTCATACAATTTAAAAAAAACCTAGTTCTTCTTACAGTAGATGTACAAATTATTTATAGCTACGATAGCACCCTTGGTTCTTGGTTTTATAAATAGTTTTACAAAATATTTTATTTATAATGAATCTAAGGGGTAAGATTATTGCAAGTACATGAACTTATTTTCAAAATTGCTTGACACGCCCCACCCAGCTCTTGAAACTTCCCGGGCCCACTTTGCGGAGCCTGTCCCATTTCCTTAGGTTGAAGACTACTGCCCTAGAGCGTTGGTTGCAAGTGCTATAATAAAGGCAGTAACTAGCAGTATGGGCAGTTATTCTGCTCATTATTGGTATTGATACATTAACCGCCAAAAACTGTTATTGCTGCGTGTATTTGCCACTTTTGCAGTGTAGGCCGTGGGATCCTTAAGCCTGACAATTTAGGACCTCAAGGCTAGTGCTTTCGCCACGGACTGTGCAAGTTAGGATTTTATTTTTGGCGCCAACAGGAAAAAAAAAAAAAGAAACTTCCTAAACTTACCGAGAATTCGAAGGAGGGTTTTCAGCATAATAGCATTAGGTTCTTAACCGTTCGGCCGGTGGCTTCTCATGCTTTATTACAATAGCATAACTCTTAAAATTAAGAGTGTTTATGGTATAGACTGTGTCATGAAACACTTCGTTATTACAATTATTTATGTGTCAGGCATCTCTTGTAACGAGAAAGTTTAACCTGCTTTGCTAGGTGACTAAATTACAGTGCCGCTAACTTATGTTTATCTTAACAAATTCCACTAAACATTTAAATTTAGCCAAAGGAACCAATATTTACTTCAGGTCAATATGGCGGAGTGGTAGCTCTACTGCTTTTAAGGCGTTGCAAGTTTTTGTTCCTGCCAATAGTTTACCGTTGCGTTTGCCCTCAGATTTAGACCTACGGAATATAGTTCCATCCCCCAGCTAGTAAGCTGGATGCATGGCACAACACTGTGAGCTACGGTCTTCTTTTTGGAATGCTTTTGACTGTGCCCAATAGGACCTATATTGTGAACTACAGATTCAGAAAATGGAGGGTCGCCTATTGCTAAAGAACTCGTTGTGCCTTATGCAGTTGTATGTGTAACTATTATTAATTGGTTGTCACTCTGCTTCCACCGGGGATTACCCAAATTTCTAGGGTCGGACTGTTTGTGTCAGCTCTTCTGACCGCTCCCTTGTTGATTTATTGCGTGTGTATGCTATTGCCCTTGCTGAGACTGCAGACTTGTTAGTTTATTCCACAGGAGAAAGTGAAGGACATTCTGTGGGGTTTTCGTGGGCACCGGAGTGGGGCACTATGATCTGGTAATCTTAGTTTCAGCTTCATAGCAAACGGGTCACTCCAATAGTTGCTCCGCTCATGTGTCAACTAAAGACACACAGAATGTTTGTCACAGTCCCTTGTGGAAAGATTGACAGGCTGCTCTCTCAGCATATGCACTAGCATACACACGCATTAAAAGCATACGGTAGCCATCCAAAGGGCTAACCCAAACAGTCCGACATTAAAAAATGCAGTTCATCATGGATGGTAGCAGAAGTCACCAACAGATCAGCCGTTTCGCGCGCGATCAATTTTAATCACATAATGGCACCACCAATATTGCGACAACAGGAATCGCGTCATTTTAGAATCTACAATTTACAACACTACGTTGGTCACAGTAGAAAAGTATTTCAAATGATATCAGCAGCTCACAGTATCACGCCATGCACTCAGCTCAGAAGCTGGGCGTTGAAACTACCCTTTCAGTCTACAAATGGAGCAAAAATGCACCGAAAACCGTCTGGGAGAAGCAAGAAAAAATTGGCACGCTCACAACAGTGACCCTGCCTAGCGTCAATTTTTTTGAACTAGAAGTAGTGAGGGTTTATTAACAGTCACCCCAGTGGTGCCTTTGTTTTGAGGAAGGAGCCAGGGGCGAAACGCCTATCAGCAAGATGTCGCCCCTGTACGATCTGACTGCCTTCGTTAACTATTGTGCACCCCACAACCATGCAGTTCTTTGGCACGAAAGAGACACCTTAATCTTGGGTTCTGGACCACCGACTCTCTACATGCTCACACGCATGTGTTCATGATGTCCACAAGTTATCATATTTCTCTGTCGTGAGACGCCGCTTCAAGTAGACAAGATACTTTTGGCTGACGTACTACCCCTTTGTGACCCTTCTATTTTTCTCTCTTACATGCGCCCAGTGACTTCATTTTCGTCATAAGACGCATTGAGAGATATCCCGGTTATAGCCTACGGTTGCTGTTTGGGGATTTTCCATTGTCCTACTTGTAATTCCCCTGAGCTTTCACGTATAAAAATATACGGCTAGTAACTCGGCAACGTAGCGGGAAAATCCTGGCCAAACACCGGATCCCGCAGTGAGACAAGATTGCCAGCCATTTTACTTCAGGTCAGCAAGCAGGTGTTAGAGCGGGCCGTTTTGGCAGAACTTTGTCTTTCTCGC